ATGACAGCTGTTGCCCTGGACCCTGGCTCACCTTCTGGGTCAGGGGCATCATCTGGTTGGTCTGCTCAGTCCCTCTCAATCACTGCTCCTTCTCAGACTGGGAAATGCTGGACGGGCTGTCTCTCGTCTCACCAACCTGGTGCCAGGTAGTACAGCTGATTTCAGGATCAGGTGAAAAGCCGAGAGAGATAACTCAGGAGGAAGATAGGGGGGCAAAAAGAAGTACACAAGGGAGGAGAAGACAGAGCAGGATCTCACATGGATCAGTTTGAGGTCCTCGCTTTTGCAGCACTGATGGTCAAGCGTCCCTACTGGAGTATCAATGTGTGGTATCAGGCAGGCAACAATCCTTCCACTGCAGCTGCGGTGATGTCAGTAAGGTTTAGTCTCCCCTCTAAAGTCTCTTGAATGGTCCCCAAAGAGGCGATGGGTGGAACAATCCAGCCACTCATTATTTTGTCCACCAAGCAGGCTTAATTCCCAACACACCGATTTTGGTTCATTGATTTCCAATCCTCTGCTCCTCTTGTTCACCAGTCATAATCTTAACCCAGTCTTTCCGTGAGATCAGACGACCATTTCTGTTTAAATTAAGTCAGTTGGTCTAGCTCCTTCTCATATCTTTTTTAAACAGCCCTTTATATCAAAGGTCATTGTAACAATTCATAAACCTTTACCTACTTTTCAGCAGTTAGGCTAACAATTAACAAAGGCAGGTTCTCAGCATATCTGGCTGTGGGCTTGATTCAATCCCATTGATCTCAATGGACAGTCTTTCCATGAACGTCACTGGACACAGAATCTGGTCCTAATGACTCTGCTATTATTCCTTCTCCTTCACAAACCAGCTAACACACAGGTTCAAAGAAAATCACAGCGATTGTGTGACTCTCCATTTGTACAATAGGATTTCAAAAGCTGAACAGAACCCCTGACATTCCACATGGTGCCAATTGAAAGTCTGATATTCCTTGTCACCTTTGTGTTGCTACTGAAGAGCAGTAAAGTCTTTATCAAGGTGAAAATCCGATCAAGAGGAATGAGCCGGGACCATGCCCTATGTCTGCAAGCAGAGAGAACGAGGGGAACACGTAGTCACAAAAATGGAACAAACTGAATTCCTAAAATGAAAAGGATCCTGTCATTAATCAGATCCTAGTGTTATGTGTTGTCAGATTCCACAGCGGTTTATTGTGTCCAAACCCACTCTGTATATCACTGCACAAACAGCACAAAATCCCCTAAATCCGCAGTCTCATAGGCTGCAAAAACTCATTGAGTCATGGAAAGAGTTTGTTCCCTTAGAGAACACAGGCATGTGGCTGTTGCAGGCATGCTGAGCATGAATGAGAAAATCTAACATCAAAATAGGAAACAGAAAGAGAAACCCATGTGGGGTCGAGGGAGGCACACGGATCAGACCCAGAAGAAGGAGCCCACGTAGAAGAATCCCTACACTAGGCAGAGCATTGCGAAGAGGACTTTGATGTCAATTTTACTCCAGGGACGGAATTCTGCCAGGAACGATTTTATTTTATACTGCAGAGGTGCCTACTGTAAAAATCTAAAAACACAACACCACAGATACCCCTCATCAGCTGGTGGTAGCAAGGGCCCATCTCCCTGCTACAGAAATGGAAAACAACCCACTGTCACCGGCTTAGACTGTGCACCTTGTATGTAATTTAACGCAACCACAACAGAAAGGCCTCAGATGTTCTCTCCCCCCTTACCCAAGGACTGAATTGTTATAGAGCTCTCCATACCAGTCTGTACTCCCAACTCATGTTGTACCTACCCAGCTCAGAATGTCCTTCAGGGGCCACAGATGGGATCCAGACAGTTTAGGGGTTGCCAGAGGTTAGCTATCAAAAACTAGTGGATATTCTGAAAGTCACCAGGCTCCAATGACTTTAGCCCCTAATGAGCTCCTCTCCTTCCCACTAGACATCAGCCACATAGCCCATACCATCTGCGCTCACTGGACGCAATCACACTCAACGTAGGAAATCCATTTCGGATAGAGCGATACAAGGCCCTGGAAAAATCATGCTAAACTCATAGTCTTAGTCCATATTAGAGGTTCTGGACCAGCCAGGCTGCTTCCAAAAGGGCCAGTCATTTCTCCACAGCAGCCAAACCCCACAGCATAGAGCTCTCCCCGTGGGGGGGTTTATTTGTAACACAGCAACATGCTGTAGAATAGCTTTTCTTTCATTGTGTGTGTGGCCATGATTCTTCACCCATGACTATGTCTTCCCCTAGAATCATGGTACTGCTGCTCCTGCCCTGAAAAGCAGGCCACAACCCAACTTGTGAGGGGAATTCATCTTATAGCTGAGCAGATGGGTAATAAACTCGGGTGTCCTCACAGAGCAAAGTCTTACTTTTATTAGGGTCTTGAAGGGGTTTCAGAGTATGGGCTTCCTTCACTTAACATAGGCCTTTCACCTCATGGGTGCTGACAGAGTTGTCAACACTTGCAATGTTATGGTGAGACTCATGATACTGTGAATAAGAGACTTTAACCAATATCCTTGACAGCAAGGTTTGAAGCCTGGCCTATCAGACCCCTAATTTAGGCCTCTTGAGTTCAGCAACTAAAGGAGGACTCGACACACTCCTTCAGAGGGGGACACAATTGTGTTAGACGTCAGGATCATCATGGACATCAGGAATCCTGGGTTCCAGCCTTGGTTTGGGGAGAAGAGAGTAGCTTATTGGTTAGAGGCAGAACGTGCTTTTGTTATCCTACCTGAAAGGCAGTGCGATGGAGCAGCTAAGAATTGGATATCTTATGTTAGTGGGTTCTTATTCCCGACAGTGCATGCAGTGACCTGGTGTAATCACTCTGTTAACTGTGAAATGGAACTGTAGCTCATACTTGGATGCCTGGCCTTGATCAATAAGGGTAGAAGGGAACACAAACCAGTCAGCAGAGGTGAGATCTGAACTCATGGCTATCGCCTCCCCAGTTCAGGGATCGTCCCCATAGCTTACCGTGGTATTTGATGGAAGAGACTAGTGTCTCTCTCCCTCTCCCTCCTCCAACAGAGGCTTGATACCAGTGGATGTGTTACATCATCAGTGCTAAATGCAACTCCTCCCATCCCCCAAGCACCTACACAGAGCCTCCTGCTTTCTTCCTGGAGAGTCCGATTGGTCTGCAGTCTCCACTCCCACTGACCCTGTTGAAAGGGATAAGCTGAGATGGAGTTCGGCCCATTTGGCTGTGACCAAACAGTGCCTGGCCACTTGTATTTCATTGCCTCTGGAGAAAGCCAGAACTCCAGGCTGTCAGAACAGGAAGCTGTTCACCTTAAAGAATGCAGACTCCTTAGCCATACAGGATGTGGGAGCAGCCCAACACTGGCCTGTGATAAGGAGCCCTAAATGGGACCAAGGCTGAGAGAATTCCCTGGGAACGTTCCTTTCTGGGGCACTACATGAAAAGGCCAGGGGGCGACTGGACCTTGCCCCGTTGTGTCAGTAAACAGTGCTGGATCGATGGGCGGAGGGATTTAGCAAGGTTTTGTTTGGAGGCAGATAAAGCTGGGGCGGCTTAGAGTCTGGGCACGTGCCCCTTTTTGATCCAAGTTTGGAGGTTAACGGGGCAGCGAAACCTAGCAGAAGGCTCTAGCTCTCTGGCAGTGCTCCCAGCCTGTGATTGTGCCCGAACGGAGCAGCAAGCCCTCCTGTTCCCTTGGCACGGTGCAGCCTTCGCCAGGGCACGTCGAGAGGGTGGAGCAGCCTGATCCCAGCGTTCTGGAAATTGTGCTCTGCAGGAATCCTAAAAGTTAGAGGGTAGAGCCCTATTAGCTCTCCTCTAGTCCATCACCAGCTGCACCCCTTTTGTCTCCGGCCTCCCAGACACCCACCTGCCCCCCACTGGTCCACACAAAATGCTGCTCGTGAATCAACTGTTTGAACCCCTCCCCTGGCTCCCCCTCTGCTACCACATCGTATTCAAGCTTCTCCTCACCGCCTCCAAAGCTTGGCAGAACTCTGCCCCACCCTGCTTCCCTGCCCCGTCACCATTGCCACCTCTGCTCTGGCATCCGCCCACACGTGTCAGTTTCTCTCCAACATCTCCGTGCCTTCTTCCACACTGCCCCCTGCGCATGGTCCAGCCTCTGCGACCTCTTCCTCTCTGCATTTAAAACCCTCTTGTAAACTAGGGTGACCAGACAGCAAGTGTGAAAAATCAGGACTGGGGGTGGGGGGTAATAGGAGCCTATATAAGAAAAAGACCCAAAAATCGGGACTGTCCCTATAAAATCGGGACATCTGGTCACCCTACTTGTAAACCCACTTCTGCTGTGCTACTCAAGGGACTGAGCTGAACTCATACCAAGAAGCCCAGGACACGGCTAAGGGTCACCTTTCTCTGCCACTGGCCTGCAGGGTGACCTTGGACAGCAGTTACGGTTTTTTAAAAACTTGCCATTTTTAAGCCAATCTCATGATTTTTTGGAGCTTGACTTGTGAGTTAGGAATGCTTGGAGTTGGTGATATTAGCTGGCACTCAACATCCTCCCATACCCACAGATGCTGATTCAATTCCTTCAAAATGCAAACCAACCATAAAAAAATGAAACCTGGGAGGCAAATTACGCCACTTCAGGCCAGAAAGTCTCCTTCAGAATAATCAGGGTTGCTTTTGTGCGACTCCCAGAACTGTGCTAGGTGCATTACAAAGCATACAAGGGTACATCTACATTGCAAAAATAACAGTGTGGACGCTCCGCCTGAGCTGGGCTTTGCAACCCGGAAAGCGGGGAGGGTCTCAGAGCCTGGGCTCCAGCCCGAGCGGAAACATCTACACTGCGATTTTCAGCTCCATAGCTCAAACCTGAGTCAGTTGACCCAGGCTCTCAGACTCGCCGCCATTGTTTTGTTTTTGCTGTGTAGACATAGATTCCAGACTGAAGCGTTCGTGAGCTTAAAATAGAGAGAGAATGATACAACTAAACAAGAAATCACTTCTTTTGGCTGTGAAATATTTAAAAAAATATTTAATTATGTCAAGGGTTTAAAATAAATATTTAAGCAGCTGTAAATATAAAGATGAGTCCAGTGTCCTTACATAATTCCTTACATGAACACCGTCCCAGGGTGTTTTGTCTGCCCTGCTATAAGTGATAAACGGTTTGAAGTTTATACATACACACAGGCATGCAAGCAGAGAATAAACTCCAAATTTTAATGTGTGGGGTTTTTTGTTGTGTAGTTTTTTTTCTTTTTTTTTTTCGGTGGCAGTTCAGATCTTAGCTGGATACAGGAGCTGTAAAAAAACGAACGAGACACAAACATTAAGTCTCTAATGCAAAAATGCATAATTTGTAACAAAATTTGTATAACTGCAGCACCTAGGAACCCAGGGATGGGCCTGGATCCCATTGTACTAGGTGATGTACAAACACTGAACAAACAGACTCTCCCTGCCCCCAAGGGGATTACAATCTAAGTATAAAACAAGAGGACAGATGGATACAGACAGAAAGGGGGGACAAGGAAACAATGAGACACTATTAGTCAGCACGATAGGCGGTGGTATCGGCCCACCAGCAGTCCAACTGTTGTCAAGTTAATCAATTCAGCATAATTAGAACTGGTTGGGAATTTTTCAATACATTTTTTTTGAAAAATTTTCACATAAAAACCCCACTCTGAGATCCCAGAACAGCCAATAGGCTGGGGGTTGGGGCACTCAGCTGAGATTGGGGAACCCAGATACAGGTCCCTGTTCTATCTGATTCAGAGCAAAGACTGGAACATGAGTTCCCCTTCCCAGGTGAGTGCCCAAACCTCAGACTACTGGATATTTTGAGATGGGGAGGGGTGTTTGTGTAGGTTTTTTCCCCTCCCTCTTTTTTTGGTCTCAGTTTTGTCCCAGTGCAGAATGGGAAAATGTCTGGAATCTCAACATTTTCAGGGGAAAGGAAAAGTTTCCCAGCCAGCAATAATCATAACCGCTACACTATACCAGTGAGGATGCAGCTATTCAATGGGGTTATTTGATATTAGATTCAAATCACCTGCCTCCCACATTGCCTCTTCCCTCCCCTGATAAAAAATCTCTAAATATCTCCCACGGCCATTCTCCATCAGATTGTATCCAACCATAGGCAGGTTGTGCCACTCCTAGTGACTATTTAACAAGATCATTGTACACATGGTGAAATCAGTTTATTTCATAGAATATCAGGGCTGGAAGGGACCTCAGGAGGTCATCTAGTCCAACCCCCTGCTCAAAGCAGGACTAATCCTCAAACAGATTTTTTGCCCCAGATCCCTAAATGGCCCCCTCAAGGATTGAACTCACAACCCTGGGTTTAAGCAGGCCAATGCTCAAACCACTAAGCTATCCCTCTATGGAGATAAACTCCATAGAGGGGGTCGTGTATACTTGAATGTGCTAAACACAGTCCATTTTACTTGGAACAGGGAGTTCATATGCCTGCACTGTAGGTACTGTTTGTTACATAGGAACCTAGCGAAACTGATTCACACAAAGCCACATATCAAGGTGCAAGATCTCTCTAGACCAGCTGGGAATACCCAATCACCATATATAGAGCCCTACCAAATTCAAGTCCATTTTGGTCAATTTCATGGTCAGGGGATTTTTAAAATTGTAAATTTCATGATTTCTGATATTTAAATCTGAACTTTCACGGGGGGGAGGGGCAAGGGGATGTCACAAGGCTATTGTAGGAGGGCTGCAGTCTTGCCACCCTGACTCTTGTGCTGCTGTCTTCAGAGCTGGGCGCCTGGCCAATATCCATGGAGCTTCCTGGAGGTGGGTCTGACCTGGCCCTGGGAGTGGCCTGTGTAGGAGAAGAGAAAGTCCTGTCCCTGCCCCGTCTGACCGGGACTAGCAGTTGGAGCTCAGCGCACAGTCGCAGCCCCACCTCTCAGGAGTTAAAGGGGCCGCTGGCTGGCTGGTGTACGTGCGAGAGAGACTGACCATGGTGCCCCCTTGATCATGGGGCTCTGGGTGGTCACCCACTTGCCCACCCGTAATGCCAGCTCCCCCCCATGTTGACAACCCCCCCATACCATGCCACCCTCACTTCCACACTGCTGCCAGCAGTGATGCTGCCTTCAGAGGTGGGCTCCCGGCCAGCAGCCGCTGCTCTCCAGCTGACTAGCTCCGTGAAATCTAGTCTACAATAGCCAGATTTAATGGGGGAAGATCGGATTTCACGGTCCATAATGCTTTTTTCACAGCTGTGAATTTGGTAGGACCCTAACCATATATGCTCCAACTTTGCCATAGCTTTTCAGCGCTCTACCTCCCACCTGACTCTTCTCACGGCAGCTGCACCATGCACATCAAAATTCTGCTGATGCACAGGGAAGGAGGGGACCTAGGAAGCGGATGCAAAGTCCTCTGAAGTCCCTGGAGGACCTGCCATTGACTTCAGAAGGGTTCGGATCAGGCCCCTAGCATGCAGTGAAACAAACAGGGCTAGGCTTGTTGTCTACCAGCTGCCCTGAGCACTGGCGTGGAGGACAGCCTGGCAAATGCCACCGTGCCAAGGGTTCACGGCCACAGAACTACTGTAAGGTGAACTAAAGGGAAGAAAGGGACTGGAGCTGGGTTGCTGTAGCAGCAGCTCTCCCTGCTGACGACAGGTGGTTCATGCAGGCTCCGAATCTAGCTGCTAGCACGTTCCCCTGGCGAGCTCTGCTATCCCAGCGAGGGGAGTGTATGTGACACCACAGGGAATTGCGTTGCAGGAAGGTGTGCGTGGCTGGGGGAGGAAGGGGTGTCCTATAAAGATCTGTCTGGCCTAGGTTTTCTATAGCACCATTACCACGGTATCTAAGCCCCCTCCCGTTGCTCTCCCCCATCCTCCTTTCCCCAGCACAGCACGGCCTGCTTGCAGTCGCAGGCAGGCAGGAAGGGGAATTCCCAAACTGCCAGGGGAGAGTTGGGGGAGTGGGGAGGGCACCACAGGCAGAGGTATTTGCAGGAGTTGGCCTGCCTGGGAGCACTCCTCCAACAAGTATGCTAGGAGCAGCCGGCTAAACAGGTTTGCTAGTGCAGTAGCAGTGGGTGGATATTGCTATGAAGGGACGGGATGAGATGCACCCACCTTCCAGGCACATCGCAATGCGGCCTAAGGGAGCCTGTCCTCCTACCGTCTTTCGTATCCTGTGTTGCACACCCCCAGGCTGAGTCGGATGGTAACTGGATCCTGGGGAGTCATTTCTGGGGGGAGGGGAGGAACAGTGTAAATACTGGCTTGGGGGGGCATCACTGAGCGAAGGAGCCTGCGACATTCCTTGGCAGAAGAGCCACTCCACAGTGCAGCCCCTCCCACCTGTTCTTCCTCCCAGAGCATGCTGTCCCTGGCAATCTCAGCTTGTCAAGTGGGCCACGGAGGGGATGCAGCCGGGCTCAGGGATCACAGGGGACTCGCCAGCACCTGTGTGAGGAATCTCAGGTCTCAAACCCAGGTCCCCAGGCAAACCTCACTGCAGCTTGCTGGTACCAGAGTTTAGGCTGGTGGACCCTCGCTCACCATAGGCGCCACCTATGAAGCTCCCAATGGTAGGAGACGTCCAGGCTCTCAGATTGGCTCACACTCACTATTTAAGCCAGGAGGCGGCACAGGAAGTTGTCCGAGCAACTAGGTGAATCCCTGGCATGCAGCGGGACCCTGCCTTCTCGGCGACCTTCTGAGCCCTGCCTTGCTCCTGTCCTCCAGCCCCATTCCAGATCCCTGCTGCTACACCCCCACACCCCTTAGCTTGATTCCTGACTCTAGTTCTGACCCTTGGCTTGACTCCCCATTCTGTCCCCGTCTCTGACCTCCACTTTCTAGCTCATGACTCCAGCTCTGACCGCCCACGTCCCAGTTTATGACAGCACCCAGCTCTCTCCGACCTGCTGGGCAATGACCGAACATCCCCCCAAACCCTGCTCAAACAGAGCCCAACCCACAATCCTCCTCGTCACTGATTTAACATGCCCCCTGCCCTCACACCAAGTAGGGTTGGTGGGCTGAGGTGACTGGGACAGGTTGCCCCTACGATAAAAGGTCCAAACATTTATCGACACCACCACAGAGTTCCCCAAAGACCCACGGACACATACTGGACGGCCCCTGAACCAAGACTTTCTCCTCAGAGCTCTCAGGCACATGCGAGATGTCTCCTCTCCCAGAGCTGCTTCCTCCTATCACTTAGCAACAGGGAGCAGCAAATCTATGGGGCTCTGAGCCACACAGCTCAAAAGGTGGGTAAAGAGCAGCTCCTGATGCACTTTCTTGAAGGCCCTCCTCAGGCCCTGCAGTGCCATGGCTTGCTGAAAGGGACACGGCTGTTCCCCTTCCCCATTCTAATTTCCAGCTCGTGTGCCCCCCCAGCCTCCCAAATACCCCCTTGCTCAGCTCCACCCTGTGTGCCCACATCCCTGATTTTCATGTCTCTCTGGTGTGTCCCATCCCCTGACTCTGCTTTGATCTCTGCACCCGGCTCATGCTTCCACATTTCCTTCCACCCACCTCGCTCTTCTTGTCTCCCCTCCCCAGCAAGACCAGCTCTCAAGTTCCCCTTCACATAATGCCCAGTACTGTGTGACCTCTGACCCCTTCAGTACCTTCTTGGCCCTTCAGAACTTCTCTCAGGGCTCTGCAGGCAGCTCTCTTGACCTCCAGGGTCCCATCTGGCTGGCCTGGGCTGTAAACAGCTGCTTCCACCACCAGTTCCTGGAAGCCACCATCCAGCAAGCACTGCATTCTCCTTAGTGCCCCGGCTGCCCGTCCTGGTTCCACCTGCTGGTGCTGCAGGTCTGGCTGGATCATCACCAGGACCAGAGCCGCTGGCATGCAGGGAAAGAGATTCCTTAAGTTCCAGAGTGTTTCATCCAGGTGTTCCCACTGCATGAGCTGCCTCAGCGTGGCAGCTTGCCAGAGCATGAAGACCAGCTGCGGTTGCATCTCCTGCTCTTCCTCCTTGATTTCCTCCTTCCGGTGGAGTTTGGTCTTTAGGTCGATCCCTCTGAAGAGCTCCTGGGCAAAGTCCATCTGCACGAGCGGGGCTGCCTCATGTACATCATCCATCTCCATCACTAGCACCTGTCCATTCCGCCTGCCCACAGTGTCCAACAGAGTCAGGAACTGCCAGTGCACTGGCTCTGCCGGGGAGCACACAGGGGTCTCCCCTAGCAGCTCCGACTCCATATCTTCCTCCCAGACTACAGCATCACTAGAACGGCAAGGGGCGTGTTACAGGGAGCGCAAGGGAAGCCTGTGCCAATGTTTCTGTGGGAGTGGGAAGGGTGTGCAGAGAACAGCTAAGACACTGTGGGTCCCAGCTAGGGTGACCCGATAGCAACTGTGAAAAAACAGGACAGGAGGTGGGGGGGTAATAGGCACCTATAAGAAAAAGTCTCCAAAAACAGGATTATCCCTTTAAAAACGGGACATCTGGTCACTCTAGTCCCAGCCCAGGTAGACAGTCTCACACTAGTTCAGGCAGAGCGAGCACATAAAAACAGCAGTGTGAACATTACAGCATGGGCTAGCCGCCTGAGTCCAAGACTGCCCACCTAGCCCAAGCCTCCACCCGTGCCACATGGACAGTGATTTTTAGCATTGCTAGCTCTGCTAGAAGTAGAATGGGTCTCTTTACCCGGGCTGGGAGGCTTGCTCGCGGCTGCAGTGTAGACACGAACTGCTTCTTTGAGAGTTCAAATATCGTGGGTTTATTCAACAAGGGATCAGAAGTCTTGCACAGCGAAGAGGAAAAATAAGAACGAATGGGAGCTTTCACCACAGGAGGATCCAAACATCGGTGTCATTGGCCATTTTTGCTGTGAGCTACCCAAGCCGTTGGAGGCGCGGTGCATGGATTTCCTCCCTGGGAGGCAGACCAAAGGGGAATTGCCCATCCAATTCCGACAGGAGCCCATGCAGCACAGTACATGGTTACAAACTGCGTCCATGAACAAATGCTGCAGCCGAACGGGCTAGAATCCAGCTGATATGAAAATATGGAATAACTCAACCACTGGGAAGTTTCTAACTTCTTCAGGTGGAGGTTGGCTTATGGCTGGAAGCATAACAATGCCTCTCTCTCTCATCTCCTCCCCCCCTTTTAAAAAATCCTATCTAGTGGAGCGTGTCAAATCCTGGTAAGCTCTTGGACTCGGATATCTTGTGGGAGAGGATTGCACAGGTTGTGTTTTTGCTTAAAAGAAAAACTATTGGGTTTAAACTTGTTTTTCAGCTTCCCTGAGTGTCCCCCCCGTTCTCAGAGTAAGAGAAGCCCACCAGGGAGCTTCTCTGCATCTCTATGTCCCCTCTGCTTTGTTGCCTCTATAGACATGTTAAAGTTCTCACTCTCCCCTCACAGGCCACACATCTAAATCATCTGATGTGTCACCTCTGACCAGCTTTAATTTCTGCTGTATCTTTTAAAAGAGATGACATTTAAATAGCGTGAGAGACAAGGAAGAGCCCAGAAGTTCTCACTTCAGGGCCTCAGACACAGTGAAAACTGGCTATTGTATACCCTCTGCTACCCTGCCTCCACAGGCAGAAGGGAGATAATGTGAAAGACTCTCCCCTAACAAGGGAGGTTGGGAGAGACACTTCTACTTCTCACACCAGAAACAGACCAGAAGGTGAATTATACACATTCCACTACATGCATCTGACGAAGTGGGTATTCACCCACGAAAGCCTATGCTCCAATACGTCTGTTAGTCTATAAGGTACCACAGGACTCTGTCGCTTTATACACATTTGTGTCACTCGCCAGGAAAAGGACATATAATTGATATTTAACAGATTAGCAGCAGTTCCACTGCCAGATTAAAAAGTCCCTGATTCCACAAGCATGGACAGAGGGCTACATTTCACTAACACAATGTGACAGTGTCAATTTTCAGCATCTTAAACAGGGTTAGTGTACCTGTTACCTAAGGCCAGTTTTAAGATAACTTACCTGTGTTACCATCTAGAGAGGAAAGCTTTTTCTAATGGTCTCGCAATCAAACTCTTTGCAGTAGGCAAATTCGCTGGTCAACTGTATGTTGATTGGCCAGGTTATCTCTGATGTCACAATCCCACCCTTTCCCAAAATGACCCGTTAGTCTTGAAATCAAACTTAAATTATTTAACATTTGCATTATGGTTAATGCCCAGTGGTCCTGACTCGGGGCCCTAGTGTGCTAGGTACTTTACAGTGACAGCTTCTGCCCCAAAGAGCTTAAAATCAGTTTTCTTCTCTGCATGTTTAACAAACCCAGTCTTAAACAGACATGAAGAAATAAAACAAATGCAGTATATTGATTTTAAGTCAGTTTTCAGAATGGAGAGGTCAATAGTGGTGGTTTTAGTAAAGGGAAATCACGCCTCGCCAATCTATTAGATTCTTTGAGGGAGTCAACAAGCATGTGGACCAAGGGGATCTAGTGTACTTGGAATTTCAGGAAGTCTTTGACAAGATCCCTCACCAAAGGCTCTTACGCAAAGTAAGCAGTCATGGGGTAAGAGGGAAGGTTCTCTCGTGGATTGGTAACTGGTTAAAAGATAGGAAACAAAGGGTAGGAATAAATTGTCAGTTTTCAGAATGGAGAGGGGTAAATAGTGGTGTCCCCCAGGGGTCTGTACTGGGCCCAGTCCTATTTAACATATTCATAAATTATCCGGAATAAGGGCTAAACAGTGAGGTGGCAAAATTTGTCATTGTGGAGAGTTCTCTGAAAACATCCACTCAATGTGCAGCAGCAGTCAAAAAAGGGAACAGAATGTTGGGAATCATTAAGAAAGGGATAGATAATAGGACAGAAAATATCATGTTGCCTCTAGATAAAACCACGGTACACCCACATTTTGAATACTGTGTGCAGATGTGGTCACCCCATCTCAAAAAATATATTGGAATTGGAAAAGGTTCAGAAAAGGGCAACAAACATGATTAGGGATATGGAACAGCTTCCGTATGAGGAGAGATTAATAAGACTGGGACTTTTCAGCTTGGAAAACAGATGGCTAAGGGGAGATATGACTGAGGTCTATAAAATCATGACTTGTATAGAGAAAGTAGATAAGGAAGTGTTGTTTACTACTTCTCATAGCACAAGAACTAGGGGTCACCAAATGAAGTTAATAGACAGCAGGTTTAAAACAAAAGAGTATTTCTTCACACAACGCAGTCAACCTACGGAACTCCTTGCCAGAGGATGTTGTGAAAGCCAAGACTATAACAGGGTTCAAAAAAAGAACTAGATAAATTCATGGATAGAGCCATCAATGGCTATTAGCCAGGATGGGCAGGGATGGTGTCCCTAGCCTCGCTTTTGCCAGAAGCTGGGAATGGGCAAGAGGGGACGAATCACTTGATTGCCTGTTCTGTTCATTCCCTCTGAAGCACCTGGCATTGGCCACTGCTGGAAGACAGGATATTGGGCTAGATGGACCATTGGTATGACCCAATACGGCCCTCATGTCTTTAAATAAGAATTTTTTTCTTGTTAAAAGTCTAGTGGATAACCCTATCTAAAAATCCAGGAAAACAGGAAGTCAAGACTTGTGCAGAGGAAACATGCACTGTGGTGATGGAGAATGAAGGGGTGTCAAACAGGAGGCAGGTGTGGAACTAAACTACATAAAGTGGAAGTGACTTAAGGGGTAGGTGAGAGCCAAAGAGGACTGTTCAGGGGTGCTGAAGTCCTGTTCTTCGTGAGTATCTCAAGAAGCCACATTTTTAAATGTGAGCTGAACGAATTTGAATCTTGGCAAATAAATTGAGTTCTGTATTACACCTGAAATTACAAACTGTAACTGTACAGAACTGTACTATCTACATCGATTTGTCAGAAGAATCAACTAGTGCAAGAGAAACAAAACTTTGAGCTTTCATTTTAGTAAGTCGGCAAAGTGTTTTTCAAATACTGTATGGAAGTTGCATTTGTTTTCAGTTTACATGCACAATTTTGAGATGTTAAACTTTTATTGAAGAGCACTCTTAGATACCATGATGGGAGTTATAGGAAAAAACCACAGATTGGTAACTAACAGATAAATGAAAATAGATCACAATTAAAGAGGTAATTTTAAACTCTTGATGCTTTGGTCAGTAACAAATCCAATTCCTCCCTTTATCATCTGCTATTACTAGATCATTGTCCTGTTTTGTGGATTATGTAACACTTGTTGTAGAAACAACAGAAAGTGAACTAGTTATTCCCCACACCAACTGAAGGTCATAAGAAATCATTAAAAACAAAATCGAACAATTTCTGAATTTTATTTTTAGTAAAAATTTAGATCCTAGATGGATACAGCATCTGTAAAACAAAAACAAAAAAAAATCAGGTTAGAGATCTTGTTACTAAACTAAAATGTTAACACAC